TACATAAACTGTACTCAGCGATCCCAATCCTAACGAGTAGTTGCATATTTAAACATAGAATTCAGGGAATGGAAAAGCTAATGTTACAATAGCAGCATTAACTGGTCCACAAAGCACATATACAGTGTTTTTGATAACTGAACTGTTACATTTATAACTTAGCATATACAGTCAATCTACCTTTTTGTTTTAATTTGTCAATTCACCAACAGCAATATGTTTTCATTCTAGGGTTAAGATTATTGCCCCACTGACATGTCAAATAAATAGTATTTGTTTGTTTGTTTACTATCATTACTACCAAAAATCAGCTAAAATGACTTAACAGCTGACCCCTAAACTCTAACTCACAAGTAAGAAAGTTACCAAAAAATTAACTTTAAAATACAGGGAATAAGAAATCTGGAGGATTCTTGTACAATAAAGTAAAAATACTAGGTTTTTCTCCTAAATTAAGTTACCTATTTTATTACTTCAATTATTTTATACTTTTAATTCTGATTCTTTTATGCCAATGCTTTTACAATTTATAAGAAACTTTTTAGCCAATCTCAGCCAAATAAAACAACAAAAACAATCAGAACTTGCAGCATTTTCTTAAAGTGATTGCTCATTACCCTGTAAAACTTGTATCAGAGACAAGGAGCCCTGAAAGTCGAAATGGAACATCTAGTTTACTGTATTAACTAGAACTGTCCTCCTATTTGACTGTATAACAGTCCACATGTAGGTGTAGCTTGAAAACTTTTTAGATATAAAAAAATACATCTCATAGTCGTAGTGCTAATTAACTGGCATGATTTCTTGTGTCATTGAGTGCAATAGCGAACACCAAACACTTGGGCTTACAAACTCAGTTCCTGCTTTTGTTCCTGCTGAAGTCATTTATAAAACTCCCACTGACATACTTCAGTGGTTGCTGAGTTGATGGGGCCACGAGGGTCGAATCCTGCAAGAAGTTGAGCACTATTGGATTATGGCAATGCAAGCTTGGCTCCAAGCATATCACAACTGACTGAAAAATGTTGTTAGAAAATGGTGAAAAATCTCAACATTTCGAAGCTGTTTCTGTTTCATAGGGCTCAAAATGGACACCTTTTAAACAATATTTTAAATCTAAACCATTACTGAAACATTTTTCTGATGATGAATAGACACCCATACGACGACTTCTGATTAGAGTTCATTTAAAAAAATAACTATAGGTAGGACCCTACCAAAATCACGGCTATGAAAAACATGTCACGGACTGTGAAATCTGGTCTCCCACTGTGAAATCTCGTCTTCTGTGCTTACACCCTATACTATACAGATTTCACAGGGAAGACCAGCGTTTCTCAAATTGGGGGTCCTGACCCAAAAGGAAGTTGCAGGGAAGTCACAAGGTTATTTTGCGGGGAGGGGGACGGGGTCACAGTATTGCCACCCTTACTTCTGTGCTGATGTCAGAGCTGGGCAGCCGAGAGTGGCGGCTGTTGGCCGGGCACCCAACTCTGAAGGCAGCACCCTGCCAGCAGCAGTGCAGAAGTAAGGGTGGCAATGCCATACGATGTCACCCTCGCTTCTGCGCTGCTAATGGTGGCGGCTCTGCCTTCACAGCAGAGCTCCTGGCCAGCAGCTGCTGCTCTCCTGCTGCCCTCCTGCTGCCCAGCTCTGAAGGCAGCGCTGATGCCAGCACAGCACAGAAATAAGAGAAGCAGTGCCGTAATCCCCACCTACAATAACCTTGCGCCCCCCCGCCCCCAACTCCTTTTCGGGTCAGGACCCCTACAATTACAACACCCTGAAATTTCAGATTTAAATAGCTGAAATCATGAAACTTACGATTTTTAAAATCCTATGACCATGAAATTGACCCAAATGGACCGAGAATTTGGTAGTGCTCTAACTATATACGGTTATTACAACACTTTAAAAAATGTTTTTAATTGAAAATGTCATTCTTGCTAAGGAAAGATTGTGGCAATATAACTTTTTTCCTATTAGCTAAGAACAATTTTGATTCTTTCTCACACACACACACAGACCCACACTCCTGTTTTCTTGAGCATCAGAAGTCACTATATCATGAAGTTATTCCATTGATAGAGCTAAATACAATATGTTGAGAGCTCTGTATGCTACCAATAGCTGTGACCATTAACAACATAACATGCTCAGTCCTCATAAAACAGGCAACTGGCTGTATTGTGACTGGATTATGTCGTAGGCCCTCATCCTGCAATGGAACCTGCTAGCACACGCCTTTATGCCCATGCAAGATCCCTATTTACTGCACTGGGACTCTGCATAGGATTACCAGTCATTGCCAGTGATTCCAACCTTTAAACAGTGTGAAAACAGCAGAGAACAGAAAATCAGAGTATCTCAGAGAGAGGCTACATCATTTTCGGTCTAGATGGGGAAAGAAATTATCCATAGCAGACAGCCTCTCTCTCCTTGCCAAATTACGCACAGTACAACAGTGAAAGCGGTATAGTACTCCTGGTTTGAGATCTCCTACAGAATTACAGTCCATCGATCAGGATGTGTAAAATAAACGGGACTGATTCTCCTACGCGTCACACTAGTTTTATACTCATGCAGCTCAGCGGAGTTACTCCTGAATTAAACTGGCATAAGAGAAGTAGGTCCATATTCTTTTTTCCCTTCTGCTTGAAGAGTTAAGTATAATTGTAGAGATGCACAACAAAATTAGATCAACGTCCACTGTTGTTTCATTGAGAAAAATTTTGTGTATAATTTATGGTTATCCAAGTTAGTGGTTAAACAATGATGCTCCTGAGTATTTATTTATTTATGGCAATGCCCACCGCGTACTGGGCACTTTCCAAACAGAGAAAGAGGCATAGTTCCTGTCCCAAGAAGCTCATAACCTAAAAAGTAAGATGTAACATTACATATAAACAATGGATCATGCTATTTTGTGCTAACGTGTCTTATTTACCCCTTACTAATTTTTAACCTCACTGTTAATATGACCATTTCTTTGTTGTATGATGTTACCAGAAAGCAAAAAACAAAGGCTTAAGAATCCTATCATACTACACAATCAGTGACTAGATTCACTGAGAATAGCTATAAAGCCTTAAACAAGCCCTTTATTTTGTGTTTTAAAAGTGTCATAAGGAGTTAATAGGACACAGCTGTACAGGCTCTTTCTAACAAGCAGCTTCTGTCGCTTTGGTCACCACAGGTGTCTCTGTAACCTGCAAACTCTTATTACTAGTGTATCAAAGTTGTGCTACTTAATAGACTTCTTTAGTAAAACACAACAAAGCAATTACATGGCTGTTGATTGTCAGTCATAAAAAACTCCCTCAAACACAGTTTTTCAAAAGAAACTACACTGCAATTTTTTGTCATTGTAAAATAAAAGAAACTCGTGAATTAAATGGAGAACAGAACAATATAACAGCAGGTAGTCAACTGAACTTAGCCACTACAGATGGTTTAGAAATAGTGTTTCCTTTTATATCAAGTTGGGGGATAAAAGAAAAGGAGGAGGCTTCTTACTGCCAATGAATGGCAATACCAAAAGATTTAGCCAAGCCTCCAGTCTCTGTATTTGGCCTCATGAAAGACCCTAGATGCTTCATTTTTATCTGTGTTTGGCATTACTTTTTTCAGCACCTTTAACTAAGTGTGATTAATACAATGATGTCATTAAAACAAATAAAAGGAATTAAAAGGATGGGAGGCTTTTGCAACACTGAAGATATTCAAGGTTAAGTTAAGATACCCTGTGAAACAGATCACAATGGTCTGTTTTTTTAAAAGAGTAAATTACTTCACAAGGATATTGCTCTGTTTTACTCTGACACCCTTTATCTAACGAAAAACTAATGCAGTGTACAAGTTTGAGGAATAAGAATGGATAAAGTCTATATTCAGAAATCCAATTACTACTGAGCCACAGGGCAACAGGAACACAATTCTGGATAATTTCTAATTGTTCAATAATCATTTGAATTAGGTAACAACAATGAAGTTGCCCTTAAGTGAATGAATTTAACCTCTTTTGTTCACAAAAGAGCGCATTATTTTTGCATTAACACAGCCAAAATAGCATCATGGCAAGTGACAGTCATATGTGCACTTCAAACATGATGAAATGAAGTCCACATTAGAAACACAAACAGGCCTGACTTTAAAACCTTCATCATTTTTACAGACATCATGATCAACAGACCAAATAAACATATCCCAACATCTACAAGACGGAATTGTTTTTATATTAAGAAATGAATGGATTGCTGACTGTGTACAAGAGAATCTGTGGTATAAGTCAAATACATCAATCAGTTTGTGGTAGAATTAAAGCTATTACCTACCTAGCTGACATGGTCTACAATTCACTTCCTTAAAATTATTATTTTTGTAAGACACCATTTAACTTATTAATAAATGTTATATTTGCATTGTGATTTTTGATCGCTATCAAAAAATATTTTTGACAGGAGAATTGTTTCGTTCACACCAGTCATATGAATTGTTCCCTTTATAATTTGTTTTATAATTAATTTTAAAAATATCTTGTATTTAAGATAATTTTTCCAGTTGCAATAAATAATTCTGACAGGGCCCCCAGGTAGTTAATTAATATAATCACCTCTCACTGTCAATCAATTGGTGTTGCTCACTCATTGTGGCAGTTCAAAACAAAACTTAAAAATATGTTTATAGTACTCTAGTGCTTGCAAAGGAAGATGCAAGAAAATAAATTAAATCTGCAATGAAAGAAACAGTAAACAATTTCCCAAACTCTATAACAACAACAGTGAGTGATCTTATAATGAGAACAAAGAGACTCAGATTCTCAGCTGGTGTAAACTGGCAAAGCTCCATTAACTTCACTGGAGGTAGGCTGACTTAGACTAGAGAACACAGAATGGATTTTTTTATTTAAGTAGACACCAAGCAACACAACATTTGTTACACAGACATGGCAAGCTTTCTTGAAACAAAAGCAGCTCAGCTCACAACTCAAACTGTATTACCTTGCTCGGTTTGCTTCTTTTGTCATATCCCATGCCCAGGTTATGAAGTTCTGACTCAGATATGAAACAATAGATTCGGCACAAAGCATTTGTGAGCAGAACACATTGGTTAGTACGCTTTCATCATGGTGGAGGTAGATTGCAAGAAGCTTTCTCTGCAAAGACAGGAGAAAATACTGATCAGTGAAAACACCTGTCTAAGAAGTCTGTTTAGTAACTTAAAACTGCTACTGTAGGTTTGTGTGTTAGTGCGCACAAGACTGTCTACAGTGCGAGATTGACTCTCAACATAAACAAATGCTGTTTCTTTAATGTTCTGACAGTGTTTCATACAATTTAGTAACATGGAAAGAGAAAAATCAAATTCTTGCAATTTAAAGTCAAACTACCCTCCGTCCCCCAAATCCACTCAAATATTTTTAATCTGAATAGTCAACATTCTATTTCAAAAACCAAGTAAAGGGCCAAAAGTGAATTTTTCTTATTACCAAAAAGTGATCTGGGATATCCTTAAAGTAGATTAATATTAAAGATATGTATTTTAACACAAAAAATAAAAAGTTTATTTAAATAAAAGTACCTGCAGTAAACATTTGACAGTCTCCAGAAAAAGGCATACCAAGGAGCATCCATTTCACATTTAGTTCTGACAATGAGATCACTATTTTTGGCTTGCTACACAGTAAAGACAATATTGAATACAGTTCTCTTTTCAAAACATGCCTTTTGTCACAACAAAGTAAACTGTAAATGTTCAGCTTAACAAAACGATAGTGAATTGCTGTTAGCCAGGCTGGTGCCATAAGAGAGCCAAGTTTGGAAACAATTATGATTTCCCATTTTGCTGAAGACTATTTTAGAGATTATGTACTTGCAAGGGAGAGGATCACCTCTGCATCGTTCATCTGAAACCAATACCTAAACCTGCAATGAAGGTAGCCAACAATGCAGCTGTGCATCCTCCCCATAATATGGAGATGTAATGGCAGACCACATGTTGGGAAGGAAAGTGACTGGTGTATCTGCGTGTTCGTAGGGGAAGAAGGTGGGATGGGAATAATATAGAGAAAAAGATCATTAGGGGAAAGGACCATGCTCTGATATCTGGTATCTGAATAAATCAAAAACAGTTTTTAAAAAGCAACAGAAAATAACCACAAAAATTACTGTTAGGAACATTGTTTTAAAATACTGCTTCAACATCCATGCTGAGAAGGCAAGTGACAAGTATGGCAAATGGGTGAGTGGTTTTGCATATAATTTTTATAAAGGAAATTGAAATCTATCCATAAGAAGTAACATCTACAGTAGGATATTGATCTGGTACCTTGAATTAATATATTAAGATATGGGGTGCAATTTTGGGACAATTCATTTTTAGAAAAATCAGTATATTTATAACCGGGAATACTGGCTATGGGTAAAGCTTAGCAATGTCTGTTTAAACAAAAAGAAGAGTACATTTGAACATCAGACTTTGAGAAAGGGATTAGTAATATACAATAATGTTTGTCTGATTTAATTTAAATGTTCTTCATAACCAAATACACATGTGCCAGGAAAGGCCATTAATAAGCCTAACATGCACAGTTCCATATAAGTGCAGCCAACAGTGTTGACTGAAACTAAACTTGAAAATCCAGGGCACTAATGCACAATATCAAGCAATAAAACAGCATCTCTGTGGTGATATTTAATTTAAAAAGAAGAAAGAAACAGGGGAAGATCAGGCACTGTCTGTTTTTGAGGATCAGCCGTTCTGCATTTCAAAGCATCGATCCCTGCAATATCCAGGTTACTGTGCTAGAATCTCACTATTATATAGCAGTTGTAAGAGAGGGAGGGCAAAGATGTGTTTACTCAGTGATTAGGGCCTTAGAATAAGCCTCTAGCTCCTAGAGAGACAACTCACCACTTATTCATTTGGGCCAATTCACAAAGCCTAGAAAGATTAAACATCCATGCTGGGAAGACAAGCGAATGCAGACGGTGAAAAAGAAATAAAAATTCTTTAAAAACTCTTAGATGACTTCATTATTTTTTCCACAAGGAAACTTTAGGAAAGTGTTTAGTTAGAGAAAAACCCACATTGACCTCTCTCTAAACCCTTAATCTTTCCTTTGTGGTGGCACTGCTTTGTGGTAAGCGGATGGCTTTGCTCTCCTCTTTTCACTGGGAGCTGATAAAAAAAGGCTCTTGAGAAACACTTTTAGTTCCAAAGAAACAACCCCATGAAACTGTTAAATATGAGATTCCATCCAACTGAATGTTCCAAAATATGTACAGTTTTAAGATTAAACAATTAGGGCCAAATTTTAGTAAACAAGACAGGCACACAAACTTATGCACACAAACGACAGATGTCTAAATTTGAACTACCTTATTTGTGGGTATAATTGTCATTTGCAACCAGATATCAGGCAGTTAGATGGCTAAACTATCTTTTGTAACTGCAGTTGATTGCACCTGTAAAATCATGGGCCCAAAAAACTTGCAGGCCACAATAAGGTTTATTGTTAGGATAACAGTAAAAAGCGACAGTAGAAAGATTATTTAAATGATAGCAAATGATGATCAGGAGATGACTGGTTTTGATTTTTTTAAAGCATATTTTCTAGGAAAATATATGTTGCTTTGATATTTTTTACAATGCACTTTTGAGTTTTTTTAATACACTAGGGCTGGGATTTCCAAAAATGTCTTAAAGACCTGATTTTTAAAGATTGATTTCAATGGGAGTTAGATGCTTTTGAAAATTCCAGTAAGTGTCTATCTGCATTTTTAGGAGACTAAATGCCTTTAAAAATCTGGCCCTAACCCTTCGTCTGCACTGGCAAGTGAAAGACAAAACTTTTGTTGTTCAGAGGTGTTAAAAAAGCCCACACATCCCCGGAAGACAAAAGTGTTGTCAACAACAGGCACTGGTGTGAACAGTGCTTTGTCCTGCCAACAATGCTAACGCCGCTCGGTGGGGACGGAAGTTTTCTGTTGGCAGGAGAGCTCTCTCCTGCCGATAAACAGTAGCTACACTGCGCGCCTTTTAGCGGTACCTCTGTAGTAGCATAGCTGTGTCGCTAAAAGCTGCGTAGTGTAGACATAGCCTAAGGTGACTTAGGAGCACAAGTCTCATTGAAAGTTAATGGGCTTTTGACAAATCACATGCCTCGATTGTAAATAGTTCCACCGGGGACTTTATCTGGACAATAAGTTTTCTGCTACTCCCATGCCTATACCAGGTACTGAGGAAGATGAGAAGGGATAAAGCTTTCATTATGTTAATATTCCAAGAGGGCCTCAGTGATGGACCCTTTATCAGTGACACACTAGGGCTTCCATTAACAGACTTCTTGTGCAGACGCCCAGTACACCTAGTCTTGACCATCGAAGTCTCAAGAACACTTACATTCTTGTGGCACTTGAGAAAAGTTCATTTATTTTGCACTCATATAGAAGGAATGAGGGAACCCCTGTCACTGATGGTTTAGGTAGAAACAAACAAACAAAAGAAACAGATCTTAAGGATGCTGAAAGAGTGGACTGCAATCCAGCCTAATGAAGTTTCTACTAGATAAGTACCCACAGCTCAAAAAAAAAAAAATCACAATTAGCATTCTTCTTGACAATCTCAGAGAGCCAGAAGACCAAATGGACACGGAGACTGAGCCACCAAATCACCTCAAGAGGTGATTCCCCTTATGCGTCTCAATTCAGACACCTTACCCGGGCAGAATAAAGTAGCTTGAAATCCTATTTCACCCTCTCTTTTGTGGCCAAACAGATTATTTCAGTCTCTAGACCAGCCAATCTAGAACTACCGTGGGCATAACAAAGTCAGCATTTGCCATAAATTACAACACAGATGTATCTGAGATATCAATTTTCCCTTATATTTAGAAAAAGGCTTAAAAATTTGCCAAGCATCTAACCAGTCAGAGGATTAAACCTACTAGCCAGAAGTATATACACAAGGATGGGGCGGTCCTACCAACAAGTGAGAACCATATGGAGGATACTGGTTAACAAGCTCAGCTAGTTCAGGAGCACGAAATTAATATAAATCTATCTCAGTGTTCTATATATCAGCTGTGAAACTAATCAGTTCTGTTCATTTCATTTTTCTGGTGCTACTTGGGAAAGGTATGAGCATCAGCAGAAGCACCAGCTCTGTCTGAAGGCTCAGAGCACTGCATCAGTTCACACTTGGAAAATTAACTTTACAACCATAAGGACAAGAAACTCAACAGTTTTAAAATCAAAACTTAAACTGCAGAAATCCGTACTTTAGGTTTCCACAGTCATCAGGGAGAGCTTCCCACTAGCCATCAGTGAGTGGGCAAGAGGATTTTTTCAAGCCTTTAGATCAGTAGTTTTCAATCTGTGGTCCACAGACCCCAGGGGGTCCAAAGACTATATCTGAGATTTTCAAATTTGAATTTTTTAGGGGTCCTCAAATGAAAAAAGGTTAAACAACACTGCTTTAGATTTATACTGATAAATAGATTTTAAGGCCCAAAGGGACCAATATGATAATCGAATCTTACCTCCTGCATAACACAAGCCATGGAACCTAACCAAGTAATTTCAGCAGCAAGCCCATAATTGCTGTTTGAGCTATAACATATCTTTAAGAAAACAACCAGTCTTAATTAAAAGACTAAGTGATGAAGAAACCACCACATCCTTCAGTAAATTGTTCTAATGGTTAATTACTCCCCCTCACTGTTAAAAATGTCCACCTTATTTCTAGTCTAAATTTGTCTAGCTTCAGCTTCCAGCCATTAGATCTCCTTATTCCTTTTTCTGCTAGTTTAAAGAGCTGTCTACTGTTAGAAGTTTCTTCCCCATGTAGGAACATGTAGAATGCGATCAAGTCACCTTTTAATCTTCTCTTGGATAAACTAAATAGATCAAGTTTCTTAAGTATCTCACTATAAAGCATCTTTTCCTGTACCTCTTTTCTGAACACTTTCCAAAAAGGATGTTGAAAAATTGAAGCATGGACACCACAACTGGACATAATATTCCAGTAATCGTCTCGCTAATGCCATATATTGACTTGATATTCCCCTGCTTATGCATCCAAGGACCATAGTCACCTTCTTAGCTACAGCATCACGCGGATAGCTCATGTTCAGTTGGTTACCTACCATAACCC